ACGCTTTGATTTAGAAGAAAAAATTCAGAACAGTTTTTGACACTTTCTATACCAGAAGCAACAACAAAATACACGCAAATGTTGTTTTTGCTCTACTGATACTACCTGTTTAATGTGCCTTGGGTACAACCAAAATTTGTCGTTAAGCGACCGGAACTCAAACATAGCAAGCAGCGAAGTGGCGAATCGATGACGGCTATTTTGAATCAAAATTGGATAAAATCATTGAATTGCTTACAGCCGGTTTCACCAGCAATTTAAATGAAAAATTATTTTTTATTTTCTGTCAATTTCCTTCGTGAAATTGGGGGACTGCGGCCTTTCGACTTGATCGGGGACCAAAATAAAGTAGTCTACGGCTCTAGGTTCGAGTAAAAAAGAGTCCATCAGGCTACGTGGCTGTCACCGGATTTAAAGACGACTGAGCATGCTGTATAGGCGGTAGGCACGCTTTCAGTGTTTTAGACCATTTGTCGCTATATTAACACATTCAAACGATTCAAAAAGTGGATCTGCGGGCGTTGAAAGCACTTCTCTGATACCACTTTTCGAATACATACATGTGTACGTGTGAAACACTCATATGCCCAGAGAGCACTCAAGCTATGTGTTTTCCACAAAGGGAGTTCAAGAGGAAAGCGAAAAGAATTTTTCATAATAAAAAGAATGTTGTCGAAATGCCTGTAAAGGTGAATAACTCGAAATGCGGCCCGATAGGAGGAGTGCCCTATCAGAAAGTTAGGGGATTCAGGAATGGTTCTAGTACCAGACCGAATTCAAAGAAGAACAAACACGGCGACCGAGTGCCCGATATCCAAAGCGTACTAAAATTATTGAGCCAACACTTATCCACACCAAACCCGTGCGAGGAGGATCGACGTATGTACATACATTTCATTTTGTCGATTTCAAAGTTGCTTTTGCCAGCACGAAAAGATTTTGCCTCAACGCCGAGATTTCTGAATTTGGCAGTCCCGCGAAACTAATATGGCGTCGTTAAATTACTTTAAGCAACACCACAGGCTTCATCAGAATTGCCGTTCGGTACCAAATAAGGTTTCGGACAGAGTGACTTCCTGTCGTGAGAATATATCTGAGCTGCAGAACTGACACGTCGCCATTTTCCGTGGTGAACGAGAAAAAGATTAAGTTTCTCCTATCATCAGGCAAACAGTCCGCACATTTGCGCCTTGGTACTTACGTCTCTGTTGACAGTGATAATTTAGAAAAAGTAGAAGACTTCGTTATTTTTGGGAGCAGCGTTAATACCATTAATAATGCCAGCCTTGAAATCCAAGGGAGAATCACTCATGCCTACAAGCGCTACACTGGATTGAGTAAGTAGGCAATTGAGAAGTAAAACCCTCCCTCATCGTACAAAAACCACACTCTATAAGTCACTCATAATGCCCGTGTTGATATATCGCAAATCTAGATCTTAAGCAGAGCGTCGAGAGAAAAGTCGGTCCCCTATACATAAATTGTATTAATTCAAAAGCATGTGATCATTTTCTTTAA